TCCCTCATTTTTTGAGGGCGCATCCCTAAGATTGTCATCGCCTTTTGGCGTGTCAATCTTAGGGAATAGGGATAAGTTCGAGGCTGGTAACCCATCACCGTGTTCGACGACGCGAAGAGCATCGCATTGCCGATCGAGACCGTCAACTCCTGTCCCGAGCTGGCGCAGAGCAATCTGCGACCCAGGCGCGGCTGACACCTGCGCAGTGCTGCACTGGGGTGTCGGGCCGCAGTCGCGGCAGTTTGCCGCCGCCAGCGCGGGGAGCTTCGTCGGCCACATCTGCTGCTTCGGGTTCGACTTCTTCGGCGGGCCCGTCCACTCCATCGGCCGCCTCTCTTCTCCCTCTGTGCCTACTGCTTCTGGAAGCAGGCCTGATGGGTCCTCTGAGAATGACGGCGTCGGGGGCGCGCCTGGCATTCATCGTGGGGTGCAGCAGTTGTCTCTGTCCTCTCCTCTTTTACTAGCTTCCGACTCCAGAATGCTACGCTGGCCCTGGCGCGTCCCGGGGCATTGAAGTTTTGCATTTTGAGATTCTGCTGCTCTCTTTGGAAGTGTTTGGGGTGGTCGCGCCCGTCGGCGCAAGAAACGCGCGCGCTCGTCGTCTTTCCTGGCAGTGTCTGATTGTGCGCTTGCAGGACATTCCTAGGGGCATGGCTGCCCGCGGCACTTTAGACAGAGAGTATCCCATTTTCCGTCGCGTAGGGTCCCTTTGGTCCGATCACCACCCAGGGGGTCTGTAATGCGCGTTCCCGGGTCTTTCATCGGGGCCGCCCTGGTGCCAGATGTGCGTTGCGTAAACGAGCTCGGACTTTACCTCTGCAGCATCGGGCTCTCTGTGTTGTAGATGGAGGCTGGACCTTCCGCGAGCAGAGCTGAAACTTGTCGATGTGAGACTCGACGACGGTCGATGACTCTGCCTTGCTCGATCGGTCTACCGCTCTCCGTAAGCAGTATGTATGTTCTTGTTGAGCAGAGTGAGATGGCGCATCGCGCTGCTCGGAGTGCCGATGGACGCGCCGCAGCTCCACTCGCTTGCTCAGCTCCGCCGCCCGTGCGCGAGTGCCCCAGCTGGCGAGATATTGTCGGCTGGCGCCCGCGTGCTGGCGTGAGCGGGCATGCCCGCGATCCCACTTACCAGCCTCGAACTTATCCCTTTCCCTAAGATTGCCACGCCAAAAGGCGATGACAATCTTAGGGATGCGCCCTCAAAAGATAAGGGAACCCCTAAGATTGGCATCGTGATGAGGAGACGCCCAGCATAGGGATAGGGTTATGTTCCAGGCTGGTAACCCACGCTTCCGTCTGACCATGCACCCGCGTTCGTGCAGATAGCCTGCAATGCTTCGCATTCCCCGCGCGTCCCGCGGCGGCGCGATCGGCGCCCCAGGCTTGCCGTCCTACCAGATCAGCTGTTGGACGGGTTCGATCTCGCCCCCGACCCCATGCCAGGCAATGGAGGAAATCGAGGCAAGGATGCAGGCTGTGACGGGGGAGCTCAAACGAGGAGGAGGAGGAGGAGGAGGAGGAGGAGGAGGAGGAGCAGGAGGAGGAGGAGGCGGAGGAGAGGCGGAGGAGGAGGCGGAGGAGGAGGAGGAGGTGATGTTCATGCTCGGACCTCGGAGCGACCCCCCCCCCGGGCGATGGCTGTGTTTCTCGAGAGCGCCCGCGCGCGGCCCGCGTTGGGCCGCAAAAGGACTTCCCGAGGCGGCGCGCGGGCCCCGTGCCGATTTTTTGGGGGGAGTGCCGTGCCTTGGGGCAGATGCCTCCGCCTCCTCCTCCTCCTCCTCCTCCTCCTCCTCCATCCTCCATCCTCCATCCTCCATCCTCCTCCTCCTCCTCCTCCTCCTCCTCCTCCTCCTCCTCCTCCGGTGCACGTCAGCCATGAGGCGTTCCATGGCATCCTCGGGTCTCGGCGTCGTTCCATGGCCGCAGCCGCGTCGGCCTCGTTTTAAGTCAGGCCAGTCCCCCTACAGGGGAATTCCCGACGAAACATTGAAAATACCCCCAAAAATAGTCCAAACATAGTCCCAAAATAGTCTGGGGACTATTTTTTGGGGGTATTTTTTGACCTCTTTCGGGTATTTTTTGGGTATTTTTTTTTCGTCGAAAATCCCCCTGTAGGGGGGGACACGCCCGACAGAAGCCTCGTTGCGTCCGGATAGCTCAGATGAGCGCAGGGAGCGGGGCGGCGTTGTAGATCCAGATGCTCTGCCCGACGACCTGCTGAATCACCAGCCCGCTGCCTCGTCGGGCGATATGCCCGACGACTTGCCCGGCGATGCGCCTGGCGACTTGCCCGACGATTCGCGCGCGAGCCCCTCTCGAGAAGGGGGCGGGAGTCCTTGCGGGCACCGGCCCAGGGGATTTTTTGGGCCATCGCTGTCTGGCATCAACGGAATTGCCCAGCGCGGGTGCGATGGGGGCAGCGCCATCGGCGAAATGGAGGAGGAAGAAGACGGCTTCCCTCGTCGTCCAGCTCGCACCCGGCCGCGAGATGGCCAATGCGACTGATCCGAAAGAACCGCGGTACATCTAGTCTATGATTGCTTGGTCTCCCGACCGGCAGAAGTTAATGAAGCTCGCAGTTGGCGACCCCGGTAGTTGCGAGCCGACGTCGATTGAGCCATCCGCAGCGAACCTCGCCGACCTTTCGGGGCCAATGCATGTCCAGTTTGGCGGGCGTGGTGTTCTGCATCCTCAAGTGTTAGAAGAACTCCAGCATTTGCCCCACCTTGCTCCCGGGATTGATTTCGCGATTGATTTCGGGGCGTGCGTGGGCGTCGGGGCCGCCCAGTTTGACTCTACCCCTGGTCCCGGCGGAGTTCCCTACGGCGCGCTGAAGTATGCCAGTACTCGTGTTTACCAAGTTCCTGTTTCGCGTGTGCGAAGCTCTCCTTGGGTTCCAGCCCCCCCCTCTGCAGGCTTTAATTGCGGCAGTGCTGTTGACGGCGTCGGCGACGACGGGCGGGCCATCCTTGGTCCCGCGCAGGCCTGGGGCGCTAAGGATGAACAGCGCCGACAATGAGATACTTGCGTCGTGCCTGGGCGTGCCGTTTACGCGCCGAGTCCAGCGCGGCGCCCTGAGGTCCTGGACAATGTCGTCGGCCTGGAGTTCTGGGTCGTGGGGTGATGCGTTTGGCGAGGGTGTTCCCGCTGCAGGGGCCCGTTTCTGGACGCAGCTGCTGGCTTCCCCGCTTCTCAGCCACGAGCGGGTTTTCAAGATGCCAGAGGGGGTGGGCTTCAACGAGCACAGTGTGCAGGTTGTGAGGTGTCTGTGCTCGGGAATCGGAGTCTACTCTATGTTTTCTGGGATGAAATTCCCGGCCGAGGTGGAGAGGCGTGAAGCAAGGCTGCCCTCTGGCAGGGCTTAGTTTCATCATTGCGATCGACCCTGTCTTGCGTGCCCTCGATCAGCGGGTCTATCCATCCTGCTCTTCTCCTCTCTTGCGCTGACGACGTGCAGTCTGAATCTCGACAGGTGTGGTCGTTGTTCCTGGGCTTCGGGGCCCTTCGGAAGCCGCGCGGGCCTTTCGGGCCATGGGGCTGAACGCTCGGAAGTTCAAGTACCCGGAGGAGAACATCTCGGCGTGTTTCTGGGCCCCGGGGGACGTGGTGAGAGCTGGAGCGCCCCGTGTGCACAGCTGCCGGATCGGGTGCCCCAGATTCGGTCGTTGCGCCTGTCGCCAGCCCACGGCCGTCGTGCCGATGGTGTCTTCGGTCTGCCGGTGCTTGCTCATGCCTGGCAAAAGCGTGCCCTGCCATCCAGCGCGTGATGGCCACCGAGTGCACCCCACTGCAGTGACTGGCCCGCGCGCCGCGCCATGCCATCCCCAGTGGTCTGGTCTTCGTCGTCGTGGGATTGGGGAGTTCGGGGTGGCGGCGGAGCCCAGGGACACTGTTCTGCTCGGGCCGCTCTGTTTCGGGCCGCCGCGGGATCCAGGAAGTTCGGTGCTGCCGCGGCCAGGTCCTATCCCACGTTCGATGACGTCTCCGACGCTGACGCCCTTTTTGTTCCTCGGTGTTCGATATTGTAGTAGCAGTCGGTCACGCATGACATGCTGCAGTGCTGGTGAAAGCTTGCCTCGACTGCTCCAGCGATGGCCGACCCTGAAGTATGTGGGTTCCAGAGAAAGACTTACAGTTTCTTCGTCTCAGACGTCCTCACCGCTTTCCTGTGCCTGATTTTCTGAGGCGCGCGAGGTACTTTTGGCCTGAGCCTTCCCCCTGTCAGTGATCGTGTCCTGTTCACTTCGCTGCTCGCAGAGTGCAGGATTGTACCATGTTTTGAAAGCGCCTATTTCCGTACTGTTTACAATGCGGGACCCACCACCCGCAGGTTCCGACAGGGAACAGGTATCTGCAGGTTCGGGTGCAGTGTTGTCGGGGCAGATGAGGTGGTCCACTCCTTCCTTTGTCTGTCCCAGCTCCCCCTGCTGTCCTCTCTTCGTTCCCACGTTGCCTTCGGATTTCCTCGCTGTGTGTCCCTTTCGTCGAATGCTCGTGCATGAAATTCCTGAGGCAGTGCCCGTGTGTCGGCTGGCCGTGCTTGTAATTCGTGATTCAAGTTATTCGACTTATGAATTCTTGCGTGCTCGCGGGAAGCACGGGCCAATCGGGGTCTTTCCACTCCTCAAGGCCCGCAGACGAGTGATTGCCCGCAGGCACGTTAACAGACGTGCCCTTCTCGCTAGCGGCGTCCAGGCACATCAAATACCCACGGGAAGGTGAGCGTTCGTCATACTCTTCCTCCTCCTCCTCCTCTTCCTCCTCCTCCTCCTCCTCCTCCTCCTCCTCCTCCTCCTCCTCCCCCCCTCCTCCTCCTCCTCCTCCTCCTCCTCTAACCTCCTCCTCCTCCTCCTCCTCCTCCTCCTCCTCCTCCTCCTCCTCCTCCTCCTCCCTCTCCTCCTCCTCCTCCTCCTCGTGAACATCGATCCCCGAACGATCGACCTTCGAACCTCCAGGGCTCGATCCGGGGGCCGCCGCGAGACCGCTCCCCGATCCGCAGCAGGATAGAGGCCGCGGAGGCGGACCTCGGGCGCGCGCGCGAGGAGATCGAGGCCGGCGACCACGCCTCGGCGCTGGCCCGGCTGCGGGTGCTGGAGGACGGGCTGCTGTTCGAAGCTGCGCCGGTGGTCCTCCGGGGAGCAGCTACAGGGCAGTTTTTTTATTCCTGGGATGTCTAAACGAATATATATATATATATATAGGATTCTTAAGTGCAGGATTAGTTTGGGGCTGAATTTATGCATGAGCTCCTCGTTGTTTGTAGTACCAAATCCCTGCATGTTTTCTACATGATCCGCACGCGGAGCATGCATTAAAAACGGCACTGTACCTCAGCACTGCGCCGGTGGTCGTCCAGGGAACACCTACCTTTCAGTCGGGCCTGTCCCCCTACAGCGGGATTTTCGACGAACAATAAAAAATACTTCAAAAATAGCAAAACAATTGTCCAAACATAGTCAGAGGATTTTTTTTTGAATATTTTCTGACCTTTTAGGGCATTTTTGGTGCATTTTTGGGGTATTCTTGGGGCATTTTTGGTGTATCTTTAATTTTTCGTCGAAGCTCCCCCTGTAGGGGGACAGGCCCGACATAAAACTACCTCGGTACCGCTCGGGCGTGTGCGGTTTGCTCGGCGAGCCCAGCGCAAAAGCATCCGGGCCGGATCATCTTGCGGGAAGGGGAGAGCTGCACGAAGCGGAGAAAAGTGCACGTGGAATGGGCGTCCGAGCGACGGCAAGGTGACGAGGCGCGGAGTTCTTGGGCGCCAGGGGCGGCGCCGAGGCGCCGCCAGGGGGCTCCAGCGCCTCCTCCTCCTCCTCCTCCTCCTCCCTCCTCCTCCCTCCTCCTCCCTCATCCTCCCTCCTCCTCCCTCCTCCTCCCCCCTCCTCCTCCTCCTCCGTCCTCCCTCCTCCCTCCTCCCTCCTCCCTCCAGCGCGGGCCTCCGGAAATCCATGCTTGCGCCACGATCTGGTCCCCGAGGTCGCCGCCATGGGCGCCTGCCACCTGGCGCTGGGCGATCTGAGCAGGGTGCAGAACATCACGGCCTTCGGAGGAGGAAACCCAGAACCCCTCGCGTCGTGACACAAAATGCGGGCAATGTCTTTATCCACATCCAGTGCGTCTTGGAGTTTCGGACTCTCTTCCCAAGAAACATGAGGCGCACTGGATATGGATTATAATCTGCCTCCAAAAGGCTCAATGTTTGTCCATATCCGGTGCGCCTCGCCCCTTCCAAGAAAGTCCAAGACGCACTGGATATGGTATGATATGGATATAAATATTGCCCGCACAATAATATAACGGGAAAAGTGTTTTCGGTGTCGTCCAAACGCCCTTACGGGGCCCTGGGGTGGTCAGGCGTCGGCACAGGGCCCATGTAATGACAAGACAAATCATGACAAGGGTGCCAGTACCGCTGCCCTTGTCTCGCTGTCGCTTTTTGGAGGTCTTCTGGGAGGCCGTCGTCGCCACGCCTGGGCTCGCCTCGACATCCCGGTCGGAACGCGCCCTAGGCGAGGTCCTGCGAGTGATGGCATCAGTACCTTCTGGTCTCACCAGGCCTCACTCTTGCGGCGCGACCCCACCGACGTGGAGGCCCTCATGCTGCGGGCCCGAGCGCAGTTCCAGGCCATCGAGCACCACATCGACAGCGACGCCTGGGCCGAGGGCGCGGCGGCCGCCATGGGCGTGGCGAGGCAGGCCCTCAGTCGGAAGAAGCAAACGCAGCACGAACGCAATCGCTCCGGGCTCCGCCTGGATGTCCTGTACCGGTGCTGGGCCTGGGCCCTCCATCCCCTTCTTCGGAGCGCGGAGCCCGCCAGGGGCGGCGCCAGAGGCGCCGCCAGGGGGGCCCAGCGCCGATCCAGGAAGCTCCAAGCTCTGAACTGATGTCTGGAGTTGCTCCAGCATGCGAAGTCACATTTCGCGTTTTGCAGCGTGTGTGTTTCATTCTGCTTGTGCGGGCGGCAACGGCTGGGCGATGCGTTGCCGCCCACGGACAACGCTTGAGCGCCGCATACGCCTGCATCCATGCCCCCACTTGGTAGTGAGTGCCAACCAGACCGGAGCATGTGCGTGGTCGATGGCATGAATGTGTCACTTGGCACTCACTGAGAGCACCTTGTGGCAGGACATCCAGATTTACCCTCCAAGGAGCCCCGAACGTTTGTGTCTTCTATATGCAGCCTTCTCTTCTTCCGTCAGCCTCGACCCAGACTGCCAGAGGGCGGTGCAGCTGCGCCGCTGGCTGAAGGGCCTCGTGGACCAGGTCGTTAGGTGGTAAATTGCGGAAGTGTTCGTTCGATGTGGAATGAGTGCATATCGACGAACAGCGCCCAATGTCGCCGAACAGCGCCAAACAGCGCCCAATAGCGCCCAGTGCCGCCGAATGGCGTTTCGCATGGCGCCCACCAGCGATCAATCGCGCCCGACAGCGCCATGTGCTGGAGATGCGTTGCAGTGTAGACCCATGCCACGAACGCCCTGCTCTCCTCGGGCGTGACGTCCCCGCACCCCGAACTCGGTGGACTCCCTGGGGCCTCAGGGTGGGGCTTTCTTGTGGAAGGTCTCTTCTGGACTGGCCTCCACTGTACGTACTTCCACTCTGCGTGCGACGGGGCGCGCTCCTGGGCGCCTCGTGGGGCGACACGCCGCCTCCGTGAGCTGCTCTCGGCAGGTCGGCCGGGCGCGTGCCGCCTTCGCCGCGGGCGACCCCGGCGGCGCCGAGGCTCCGAGCAGGAACGGCTGCCCCTGCAGTCGACCCGCACGGTAAGGACGGGGAGGAGGAGGAGGAGGAGGAGGAGGAGGAGGAGGAGGAGGAGGAGGAGGAGGAGGGGGAGGAGGAGGAGGAGGAGGAGGAGCAGGCGGAGGAGGAGGAGGAGGAGGAGGAGGAGGAGGCGGAGGAGGAGGAGGAGGAGGCATCCTTCCCTCCTCGGTCCCTCCTGGGCCGCTTTCGCTGGCCGCGCCCCGCTCAAAAAAGCTCCGGAAGGGCCTTCCGAGGCCCTTGCATCCTCATCGTGCATCCTTCTGGTGCGGGGTTGACTGTACCGCTGTGCTTCCCTTGGTCTTTCCCCTTTCTGGGCCTCCCGGGAGGGCCCACGTCGCCACCGCTGGAGTCGCCTCGAAGCTCTGGTCGGGACGCACCCCGGGAGGGCCGTGGCGTGCGCCTCATCATCCTCCATCTGCTGCTTATCCTTCTCATCCACCCTTCGCCTCCTCCTCCTCCTCCTCCCTTCTCCTCCCCCTCCTCCTCCTCCTCCTCCTCCCTCCTCCTCCTCCTCCTCCTCCTCCTCCTCCTCCTCCTCCTCCATCCTTCGCTTCCTCCTCCTCCTCCTCCTCCTCCTCCTCCTCCTCCTCCTCCTCCATCCTTCGCCTCCTCCTCCTCCTGCTCCCTCGGGCTCTCTCCCCCCAGAGAGGCCGTGCTCACCAGCCTGCTGCAGGACTCCCGGCCCCGGCCCAAGGGCCGCTTCGCGGCGCGCTGCCTCGCCGAGCGCGGGCGCGCCGGGGCCCTCGGCGCCCGGGGCGGGCCGCGCGTCTGCGGCGATCGCAGGGCGCAGCGGTCGGGGCTTCTCCCGGCGGGCTCCAAGATTCGAGCATAACGGGCCGGACGAGGAGGGGGAGATGTGGGAAAGGGGGGGGATACGAACAAAAAGGGGGGGGTCCAAGACTCGAGTATATCGGGGGGGGTCCACGACTCGAGTATATCGGGCCGGACGAAGGGGGAAGAGTTGGGAAAGGGGGGGTTACGAAATTTGCTGCACGCAGCTGGTTTCGGCCTCACCGCGGGGCCCATTCATCGCGATACATAGCCGCCTCTGGCGCCGGGAGGCGCCGGGAAAGTCAGCTACGTGAGCTGATTCTCAAAACCCCCCTTTTGCTGTCCCCCCCTTTTGGCCCGTCCCGAGAGTATAGGAGATCGACTACAGAAGTATACAGAAGTGATCACCCCAAACTTGAACTTCTCGTCGGATCTGCCACAACATACGCAGGATGATGATCTGTCTGCAACCTTTCTACGTGTGTTTTCCTGGTAGATTCTCGACCAGGCAATCAAATCTGGGGTAAATGAATTCTGTAGTCGGTCTCCTGCTCGAGCGACGATGCCCCAGACAGGATCGCGTCGTAACGAACATCAGGGCGGCAGGTTTTTCGCTACCTTCGGTCCCTGGGGGCCCTCGCTGGTCCCCCGGACCGTCAGAAAACGACTCTGGACGAGAAGCCGGCCCTGGGGAAGGGGTCTGGTCTTCCGGGGACGTTGTTTGAACATAAAGAGGACGTCGCATGTCTGGGACACCACCACCACCTCCATTTCCCCTCCCTCCTCCAGGCTCCTCTTCTCCTCCTCTTTCCTTCAGTATCGTTTGACCGATCCCCATTCCTATCCCCATCCGCATCTCGAGCCCCACCGTCTCACCACCTCGGTTTGGGATGTGCCCCTTGAGACCTGGAGAGGGCAGCCCAGATCCCCATCCAGGGGGGCAAGTCGGCCAGTGGGGCCAGTGGGGCCCGGGGATCGCGGAGGGTCGCAACCCCCCAACATACTGATACAACGTGCGCGTTGGCGTCGCCCCCCCCCCCCCCCCCCCCCCGGAGGGGCGACGCGCGCACCGAGAAACCTTCCAGCGCACGCGTCGTGGCGGGCGCTCTCTGGCGCCACGCCGGTCGGGGAGCGGTCTGCCACAGGATGGGTTCGGGTCGCACGCGCGCCTCCAAGGAGCACCCACAGTGCCAGTGTGTGCTCCGTGCGCCCCAGGATCGGGGATCGTCCCGTGCTCGTCGATCCCGCGATCGGTTCGGCTCAGGAGGAGGAGGAGGAGGAGGAGAGGAGGAGGAGGATGAGGAGGAGGAGGAGGAGCAGGAGAGGAGGAGGAGGAGGAGGAGGAGGAGGAGGAGGCAGATGAAGAAACAACAGCATATCTTGGGTTGGCTCTGGAACCTTCTCCCTTCCCCGCCCGATCGCGCGGTCGTCCGAGCTTGAGGGCGCGATCGAGCCGCGATGGAGCCGCGGCTGGCCGCTGGGCTCCGGGCGGCGTTCGGAGATCACGTGCTTTTTCTCGTCCTCCTGGGCTGCTCCTCCTCCTCCTCCTCCTGCTCCTCCTGCTCCTCCTGCTCCCTCCTCCTCCTCCCCCTCTCCTCCTCCTCCTCCCCCTCTCCTCCTCGTCCTCCTCCTCCTCCATCCTCCTCCTCCTCCTCCTCCTCCTCCTCCTCCTCCCTCCCCCTCCCCCTCCCCCTCCTCTCTCTCCCCCTCCCTCCTCCTCGTCCTGTGCTCCTTGGCGCTCGGTGGCGCGTGGGCGGCCGAGTGGCCGGGCAGACACCGAGGCCAGGCTTGAGAGGGGCGACGCCCAGGGCTGCGTCGCAGACTGCCAGCAGGTCGGGGGCACCGCTAAAGGCGACCGCAGACATGGATCAAGGGGGGCGTTGATTAGCGACGGGTCCCGCTTCCATGGGAACTCGCGGAGTTCCGCCGCCGAGCGGGGCGGCACCGGCCGCAGTTTGGGG